AATCTGGAGAAGCAAAGGCTGTATTCCAAGGCTCTTCCGGATGTCACTATTCCGGACCATGTCGAGATGCATAAGGCCAGCGACTCGTCTAAGAAAGCCCATTTCAGCAGCTTGTGCCCGGGTTCGAAGCTTTTCAGTGATGGTCCATTCCTACATTATTTGGCTAATAAACTAAGATGGAATACAACGAATAAGCAGGGTAACGGGTGCAGTGCAGCATTTATATTCGCCAATTGCATTTGATCTGTGCCACGTGGGCTTTCTTCAGAAAACATTTCAGTCTTTCAGGTTGTCCATAATCGTTGTTCGTGGTTGCATATTTGTTCTCGGTCATATGGGCAGATGTTACGCACGATGGTTGGGTGGGGGGAACAGTGGCGCGAAGGAGGTCGTTGGAATTTGCGCTTATGAGATGAGGGTTTCAGTCCCAGTATGGAGCAAGATGTTCGCATTCAACAGCTAATCCGTTGAGAACAATATTCGTTCCACTTGCCTCAATGCAAACATCTAAAAACGGATCATTTGGAACAGTTTGGGCAGCACGGTGTTCCGATGTGATCATTCATGCTTAAACATGCCTGAGGTAAAATCATAGATTTCTTATGCTTCCGCTTTACGATTGCAAGCCGCTTTGAGTTTGAGTACAAGACAAAGCCCATATAAACCTCCATACAACGTCACTTATATGCCAAACAATCCAAAAGGAAAAGGGAATTTACTTGATGCCATGTCGCCTCCAAAAGGGAATTTTCCAATAGTCTGAGAAGGGTAGGTTGCATAATGATAAGCGGTTAGCTTTGAACTCCAGAAATGCTGAGTTAGAATCTTGAAAATCTTTCAACCGCTAATTCTCTTAAGCAAGAAATTTCACCCTTTCTCCACGATGATTCGGTGCGGCAAAGGAAAATGGGCCGCAAGCCATTTACCTGCGAACAACGGAAATAGCATAGTGTTCTGCTATGATTGTACCAGAATGGGTGGGAGGTGGGACATGCTGCATGTTGCGAGTATCTATCAGGGCTGCAATTCTCTTTGAACTACTCAATAGCTGATTATGCCTTGCGATAATCAGAAAAAAGCGCAAAACCCAAGAAAAGCTCTTGATTAATTTATGTTGCAGTTAGATAATCTAGCCTTGGATGATTGAGTGGCTTACGTGCATTATGACATTGTTGCATCTGTCAATGATATAACTTTTTCCTGACTGGCAGAGTTCAAGGCTTGCAAACAAAATTACTTAATTAATGTTCGTTGTTAATTGGATGCTGTTTTAGATGACTGTTGATTAACTAATGAATAACTAATGATTGTTGATTCGTAGTAATTTTTTACAGTGATCTTAATATTTTTCAAAGTAGTATGAGTTTTCCTAAAGTTTTCAAGGAGATATGGGCACTGATTTTAGATTTTAGCTTATAAATATTAGTCTATTCAAACTGATTTTTTCTTTTAATTTTTTTAATGGCTAAGTTCAGATTCAGGCAGTATGCCATTACTCTTGAATTTGGCGCCAGATCTGCAGCAAATGTGTCTCTCAAGGTGGCAAGCCATCTCTTGGTAGGGTGAGGTCCAGTCTAAATACCTCCCATTATTGTTTTAATGACGAGCTATGGCTTGGTGCCAGGAACGCAAGCTTTCTAAGTACATTGCAAATGATTTTTGTATAAGTCTGAAAGATTTACAGATTGCAAGAAGTTGATCTTCATATTACAGATTTTGGAGTGAAAATATCTTTACAAGGTGCCACGAATGTCTCGAACCGTCAACAGTTTCTGTAATAAAATCTAGACTCGAAGCAATCTAGTAAAAAACATAAAGAAGAAACTATGTTAAAATTTCAAGTCATTCAACCTCATACTTATACCAAAAACATATTAAAACAATAGAAAGCAAAAAAAAACCAGCCCCTGCAACAAAGCAGATTTCATCATCTGGAAAAGAGCACGAACATTAAAACAGGCCTGATCCCACACACCGGTTACTCGCTACCTCGACATGCAAGGTCACTACAAATCTTGCTCAGGATTCAACGAAAGTTGTGAACTTCCTGACATTTAGACTATTTAGGTAATTAAAAGAAAAATTTATTTTAAAAACTGATATTTATATTGTTTAATCCAAAATCAGTGTCCTGACTTCCTTGATGAAATTCCTTTGAACAATGCCTGCTACTCTGAAACTGTTGCTCAAAATAACATACGTGGATTGAATGCCGTATTGCTTGGCTAAATTAAAGACAACAGTGTAGATCTACGGATTCGAGGATGCTTTATTTATCTGATTTATGAAGTACAGACGAAAGCTAAGTTTTTCAAGAATCCAGCAAACTAACGTTATGTGCACTGTATGCATTGGAATCATGAGTCCATAATCAACCTACGCATTTACATCGGTCTGGTAGCTAAAAGAAGCCAGTGAGCGACGTCTGATGCACAGTAAAATGTGTTAGAAAAGGCGGCGACAAGGATGCTGCTGTGCAACAGCTCTCTCGATCAGAATCGGCCATTGTGCGTTTTAAATTGGAATAGCTGAAAGTATAGAAGCAAGCAGTAAGAAGGACAAAAGGCTACAACGAATAAGTTGTTCTTTAAGGAATACTTTTCCCAGACAGTAATTTGCTTCAAATGCTAGCACAGCTTAATAAATTACTGTAGATCGCAACTGGCCATGGGTTCAAACATCAAATCCCGACATATGGCTTGTTGCCTGGTCGTCCTAAAAACCGCATTACCTCACTTGGGTCGCTTGGACCGGCCAATAGTCATCGGCGACGAGTCACGTCGGCTGCAACCCGATCGCGATTCCTCGCGCTTT